ATCCATGCCAGCTCTCCTCTTTTTGCTGAGGAAGATCGGTTCTGGGATAACATCTACTGCCAATCCTCCTCTTTTTTTTTTCCCCTTATCTCCCCAAAGCTCCAGTAGACAGTTGTATGTCATAGGTGCACATCCCTTTAGTTGCTGTATGTGGGACGCCGCCTCAGCATGGCCAGACAAGCGGTGCCTCGGTGCATGCATGGGATCCGAACCCGGGCCACCAGTAGTGGAGTGCGTGCACTTAACTGCTAAGCCACAAGGCCAGCCCCAATTTCTTATCTTTTTGATAATAGTTATACTAACAGGTATGAGATGATAAACAATTTAACCTAATTGGCCTATACAGAAAACAATACCCTACAGCTTTAAAGTACAGTTTTTATAAGTGAACATAAAATGTTTACTAAAATAAACAATAAGAAGATGCTAAGAACAACTTTATCCCAATACATTTGAAAATACAGATCAAATAGATATGTAATTAAAACACTACAAGTAATGTAAGAATAAATGTAAGGTCGTAGTAGCCACGCACCGAAGAAATTGAATCAGTTACCTAAAAATCTCCATGAGCATGTGTGTATGTGTGTGTGTGCTGAGGGGTTATATGATAATACATTATGACTAAGTGGGATTTATTCCAGGAATTCAAAGTTAGTTGAGAATACAAAATATTATCAATTTAAAATATCTCAGATGTAAAGAGGAAAAAAATCACAACATTATTTTAATAGATTAAGGAAAACATTTGCTTTAATTAAACATCTATTCATGATAAAAAGATACAGTAAAGTAAATTTAGAAAGGAATCTCCTTAACTTGATAAAAGGTACTTACAAAAACCTATAGCTAACTTCTTTATTAATGGTGAAATATTAAAATCTTTTTCCCTGAGGATGATAACAAGACAAAGATGTCAAATGTTCCCATTTCTACCCCACATTGTACTAGAGGTCCTAACAGAAGAATAAAATAATAAAAGGAAATAAAAGACATTAATATTGGAAAGACTCCAAATGAATGAAAATGAAAATACAACACACCAAAACATAAGGCATACTGCAAAAGCAGTTCTAAGAGGAAAGTTAATAGCAATACATGCATATATTAAGAAAAAAGAAAGATCTCAAATAAACAATATAACATTATACCTCAAGGAACTAGTGAAAGAAGAGCAAACAAAGCTTAAAATTAACAGGAGGAAGAAATAACAAAGATAGAAATAAATGAAATGGAGACCAGAAAAACAATGAAAAAGATCAATGAAACTAAGGCTTGGTTTTTTGAAAAGACAAATAAAATTGACAACTTTTTTTCTCTTAGTTAGCTAAACTAACTAAGAGAAAGAGAGAAGACTCAAATAAATAAAATCAGAAATGAAAGAGGAGACATTGCAACTGATACCACAGGAATACACAGGATCATAAGAGACTACTATGAACAATTACATACCAAAAAATTGGAGAATATATTCTATATTCCAATTCTAGGAGAATATATTTTACGTTCCAATGATTCTCAAATAATATACGGATCATTCCAATTTTGTTGCTTAAATTGCTACTCTGCATTCTGGGACTACTTTGCCATGTGCTGGATAAAAAGTCATTACCTTCGTCAAAGGCACCTCACGTTTGTCAGGACCTAATCTGAACACATTCTCTTCCTCTGTGACCTGGTCTTTCTCCAATCTTCCGTAAGAATGTACGTAACAACACATGCCATCCCACTGCATATACCGTGGACTTAGAATTGTTCTTTGATCATAAAAATGATCAATTTTACCTCCAACATATCTTGGAAATCTATCCACTTCTCTTCATCTTCACTGCCCCATCCTAGTTCGAGGATAGTCATCTCTCCTTTGGATTACTCTTGTCTATCAGATTTACTTATATTTATGCTTGCCATATTTAATTAGGTCTCCACATTGATGCTATGTCCTAATACTCCTTAAAAACTTTCAACATTATTTTAGCCTAAATTTGCTTGCAAGTCTCTGGCCTCTGTTACCTCAGCAGCTCTATTGCATACCGTATCTCATTTTCCACATCTTTGGCTTCCAGTCACATTTATCCTTTTTTATTACCTTGAGTATAACAAGATTTGTCTCATTTCAGCATCACAAATTTCCTAGAATCCTTCCTCTCCCTCTCCTCCCCCTCATCAAACACACACCATAGTTAACTCCTACTCAAATGTTTGGCCTCATCACAAACTGGTATTTCTTGAGGAAATCCTCCCCTGACATCAAGACTAAATTAATTTTCCCTGTTTTATGTTCTCATATCTCAGGCTACTTTTGCTTTAAAGCACTTATCCTAGTCTATAAGTATATGTTTTCTTGATTATTTATAATAGAATTTTATCCACCCATCCCAACTAGATTACAATTTCCATGAGGACGGGGACCAAGACAGCTCTATTGATCATTTATTTGCCTACCATGTTTTCTAAACATGGTAGGCACTCAATATATACATCTTGGGATGAATAAATCATTTCTCCTTTAAATTTTTTTAAGACAACTTCCTAACCACAGAATTTAGAATCCCCTGAAATTTTGTACTCAAGAACATTTCAAACACTAATAAAATTGACTACCCTTTGTAGGCCCAATGTGGTTTCATTAATGAAGATATTTTTCTGTTTACACAAGTTCTGAGGTTAAATTAATAGGAAACAAATCTCTGAGTTAATCCCCTTTCCAACCTTTTGGGATTTAACATACTAGGAATTCACCTTTCTCTATGGGCTGTTGTCTCCTGATGTCTCCAAAAGAGGTCTGTTATCCTTAAATCACTGAGGTGTGTATTAATTCCCCATAAGTTGCAAAAGCTTATAATTTTTGTGCCATTTGTCCACTAAGAACATATACTCATCCCATGTGGAAGCTCCTTTCTTAGGAAGTTGTGTCTTTGCCTGGTTGGAAACCCCTGCCATTCCCAGGACCTCAGACTGAGTTTCTGCTCATAACCACAGTAAGTAATAAAACCTTGGCATAGTCACATTGACTAAATCCCAGAGCACCCAGTGGCTCATTTTTAACTCTTATGTTGTTTTGGCAATATCCTGCACAAGAGATTGACCCTTTCTTCTGTCCTAGCAGAAGGATGTAGAGGCTTGGAGAGATTTTTCAATGGAGTTAGGGCTAGAATTAGAAATTATAAGGTTCGCAGGGGCTCTGGAATTTACATTGTCTATAAAACAACTGCCAGATTATTTTCAGAATTGATATAACTATTTCACAAGCAGAATCACATTCTATGTCCTGCTAACCTTTAATTGCTAAAAAAAATATTAAAGACAATTATCTCCTTCCTGTGAGCTCAAACCTGCTCCTTCTCTTAAGTGTATCACACAAATATCAATAAAGGGAACACATTTAAAGGAAAATGAGGAAAATATCTAAGATACAAGGATATGTATTTGATATGAGGATGTATAATAATAAATGAATATTTGTCAAAAATACCAGGCCTTGTACAATCCAAAGGCTTACACACTTTCAAGCTCTCAAGATGGAGCTATTGTGCTGAATTCCTTCAGAACTCTCATCTAAAAGTTCACAAACTGGCTTCATCTCCAAGACTGTTTGTGTCTCTCATTTGTTAAAATTTCCTGTGAATAGATTTAAGTGATTTTAATGTTCATCAAATTACATTCAGCGTTAAGGAAGAATGATTTATCCCATGATTAGACAATACATGTTTATCCAAACATAGAAGCAGTGAGAAATATTAAAAAAAATGCGTCTACTGTTAATATGAGTCTTCTCTTGTTGGTGATACCACAAGAGAATTTTAATTTCTTTCAGATATTTTTTTTCTGTATTTATAAGCTATTATATAGAGAATAAACCCATAACTAATATAATTAAATTTCTAATAATCCTAATTTAAATATCTCATTTTAAAACTTTGGTACATAATTTTCCAGTCTTTTATTTGTCTTGCTCATAACCCTACAATAGATTTCACTATGGCAAAAATATTGATAACTAAATGCCTTGCAAAATCAATAATTTTGATAAAGAGAAAATATTGTGTGTATCTGAAATGTAGGCTACAAGGAGTTAAAACCAAGAGAAGATACTCAATGAATTTGTTCATGTCAGAGTGACTTATGTACTATAAAGGAATTTGCACCTTATTTGAAATACAATGTGAGGGCATGGATTATTTTAAGCAAGGGAATACCAATTTTAGAAAGATCAGATTAATGCAAAAAGAATGAAGCTTGGGGAGAGACAAGCGTGAACAGGTAAGATTACAGAAATAGTAGTATGAAAGAGAAGAGGTGCATGAGTGAAGTAAAGGAGAAAAATCAACACAATAAAGAAGCAATTGTTTGTGGAAAGAGAAGGCTATTTGTTAGTCTCAGGCTTGGCTGGTTGGGCTCCTAACCAGAAAATAAGTACATGGAAAACAAGTGTGAGGGAAGACGTGAGTCTAGTTTTGAACATGATTCTTGAGTGTATAATGGCAGTTTCTTCAATATGATGGACAAATAATTTTTCTTCATTAAGTTAAATAAAAAGTATATTATTACCTGTACCTAAATCCTCTATTTAGATGTCTTTATAATTTCTATAACACTCAACTAGAAAAAAAATAATTTGTTATGGTTAAGGAGTCAATTATATGACTCCTTAAACCAGTAAATTCGGTCATAATCACTTAACTTCCTTTAAAGCTATTCCTTTGTGATCTTCTCAGAAGTTGATCCAAAGTAGAAAATCGAAGAAAAGCTATTCCTCTTCCAATCTGCAACATGCTTTATGTTTGAACATCTTTAAAGTTCATTATATCAAAGTTTTCGAAAGCTATATAAAACATTAATGGACATCTGTAACAACTTGGAATGGTGCAGCTACAAAATTTAATCTCCCATCATTCCACATTTAAATAAATCTACTTATTGTCAGTTAATAAAAATCTGAATCAAGCAAGATGGGAACAAATATGAAGAAAACAAACACATTCACTTGATTCCACAAAATGTCTGAAGAGGTGATGAAAAGTTTAAAAAAAAACCCAAACACTAGAATCATATTTATGTGGTTTTCCCAATGTGAGATAGTGAAGACAATACAGAGATTTAAGATACATGCTGAATTTTTCCCAAATAGTCAACACTGAGAACTGCTACTTTTAAGTTTACCTTCTACTGCCAAAACTCTAGAACTTCATTTTAGTTTATTTTAAATTACTATAAGAGATGGAATACAGAATTATTTTGTTACAGCACCAAACTACACTACGTGGAGACAGTTTAAAGATAATGTTTAAAGAGGATTTTCCTCAGAGAAAGCAACTTTGAAAAACATTTTTTTTCTCTTAGGAAAATATATCTATATCTCTGAAAGGCACCAATAGCTCCAAATTCCAGGTCTCTGAGTTCATCCTGTTGGGATTCCCAGGCATTCACAGCTGGCAGCACTGGTTCTCTTTACCACTGGCACTACTCTACTTCTCAGCGATTGGTGCTAACATCTTCCTCCTCATTACCATCTGCCATGACCCTGTCTTCAGCAGCCTATGTACCATCTCCTAGGCATCCTCTCTGTGGTGGACATGGGCCTGGCCACCACCATCATGCCCAAGATCCTAGCCATCCTCTGGTTTGATTCCAAGGTCATTAGCCTCCCTGAGTGTTTTGCTCAGATTTATGCCATTCACTGCTTTGTTGGCATGGAGTCTGGTATCTTTCTCTGCATGGCTTTTGATAGATATGTAGCTATTTGTCACCCTCTTCGCTACCCTTCAATTGTCACCAATGCTTTAATCTTAAAAGCTACCCTGTTCATGGTTCTTAGAAATGGATTGTGTATCATTCCAGTGCCAGTGCTTGCAGCTCAGCGTAATTATTGCTCCAGGAATGAGATTGAGCATTGTCTGTGCTCAAACCTTGGAGTCACAAGCCTAGCCTGTGATGACAGGAGGCCAAACAGCATTTGCCAATTAATTCTGGCATGGCTTGGAATGGGGAGTGACCTAAGTCTCATAATACTGTCATATACTTTGATTTTGCACTCTGTACTTAAACTGAAGTCAGCTAAAGCTGCATCCAAGGCTCTGAGCACTTGTACCTCTCATCTAATTCTTATCCTCTTCTTCTATACGGTTGTTGTAGTGATCTCTGTAACTCACCTGGCAGAGACTAAGGATACCTTAATTCCAGTTCTTCTCAATGCACTGCACAACATCATCCCCCCTTTTCTCAACCCTATGGTTTATGCACTTAGGACTAAAGAACTTAGAGCAGGCTGCCAAAAGGTGTTTCATTTGAGCTTAGAAAAAAGGCCACTGGAGACCTTCTCTGTAATATACGTGTACTTCAACTTCTTCTAAAGCAAGGAGTGGAATTTCAAAGATGATGGGGAAAGTGAATGCTTTTGAGATATCTTTTTCACATTTTTATATAAACAATTGTGAAAGGACTTGTAATGAAATTAAAAAAAAAGCCTTGTCGATAGCCTCAAAATATTGACGAGAGATAAATATATGTATGACAAGGAAGGACTTTCTACCAAACCAATCAAAACCAGAATTAATGATTTATATTGCTCTCCTAAAATAAAAATCAACATAATAATAAACATACACACACACACACACACACACACACACACAACCAAAGAAATAACTGATTGGGACACGATTTACAGTTCATGCTTGATCATTGATAGGTGTAACATGGGACAAAATTCAGTCTGCCTGAACAAGTGTCATTACAGTAATACAAATGAAAAAGCAAAAATAGCAAATACTTCAGATAAGCAAAGCCAAACGAGACTATGATGGGGGTCTGGGTAGAATATGGCAAGATGACCAGACTTGGACAAAAAGAATCCAGAAGACATAGATAAATGAGAAAGAGAGAAAGAAAGAAATATAGGGGTATAGAAAGATCCATCTCTTGCTCCATTGGCCTCTCCAGATCTGCTTTCTGCGCTGTTCCATACTCTGGAGGACTGAAGCTCGTATACTCTATAACCCAGCCTCCTTTGTCTTCTAGCATTCAGCTGGATTGAACCAATGGGAGTCATTGGCAGGAGATTAGAGTACAAGAAGAGAGAGAGTTTGGGTTATTTGTTCTTCTCCTAGCAAGCTTTGACATCAGGGTTCTGACTAGATGTGTCCCAGCAGCACTTGCCAGGCAGCCCATCTGCTACAGTTACAGATCTTAAGGTGTTACCCAGGAAATTTTTTTTCTTCCCTTTCCCCTTCAGAACAAAGGAGTGATCAAGTCTTTATGATATTGGTCTCTGGGTACCCAACATCCATTATTTTTTCAACATGCATTTTTGTTTCCTCAACCCCAACTACACCTCAGACAATAGCAACTCATTAATTTCTCTCAGACTCACCTTTGTGTGTGCCTTTGATTTCTTGCAGGGACCCTGACTTTTTCCATAGCTTTACCTACATCACCACACCTCTACTACAACTACTCCTCTGCTACTGTGACTACAGCCGCACAGCATGTAGGCAGCTTGAGTAGGTGAGAAGGATATCTATAGATGAACAGAAATAAAGAAATTTGCAAGGCAGGAAGCAGATTCAGGATTTTTATCCTGGTGAAAACTGTTACCCTGAAAATTTACTTCTTTTTTTCACAAAATTAAAACCATTGACTAGCAGAAAAAAAGCTTAGCCTATTAGTGTCATGTATTTCTTTATGATCTGGGCTGGGTTTCACTAAGCCCATGTTTAGAGGGTTTCATTAACTAGCTGGAATATTTTATGGGTTATCTCTCAAAAAGTGAGGATTAATTTGCGATGAAGGCCCACCAGATGCTGGTAATACTATTATACCTTGTATGTTGTCACTCACTTTCCAGTTAGATATATAAGGTAAATTCTGTCAGATCTGAGGTACAATGAAAACAGTTTGAAGGTTCTTGCGTGTTAGTCTGGCTTTCCACACAATCTTGAATTTAATTATATTCATTTAAAGGATGATAAAGAGAAAATTTAGTGTTCTATGGACTCATCAAACTACTTTCTTTAATAAGGTATATTTCAAAACATTAAGATAATTTAAGAAAATATATGTTTGATAATTTCAATGAAGAAACAAGAAGATGATATTTCTATTCAATAATGGTCTCCGTGGTAAGGGGGAAATTCAGTGAAACAAAACAGAAATGACAAATTATTGCAGCTGAGATAACTTACATATTACAGTCAAACAGAATTTAAATGTCAGATATTTATGCAACTGTCAGTTAATGAGAATTTGCAGAGCAGAAAGGAAATAAAGAGAAAAAAATATGAGAAGAGGTAAGGAACACAGATCATGGATTTCCAAAATAAGCCATTATATGCTGTCACAGAAAGAATATCAAGATAGCTGCAAAGATTCTGAGAAGCAGAAGCTGTCTGAGTACATTAGTCAGAGGCTGTTGGGCCAGATGAGGTAGTCTGCAACTTTACATCACCAGCAACTCTGAAAGTTGTTTTTACCCAACTTATCTACAGAAAAGTTGTCCACCTTTAGTGGTCTTTTACTATCATAGATCTTCTTTAAATGGATGAGATGGCTCCCACTCAAATTTCTGAAGATGAGCTTGATGAACTCAAAGAGGCCTTTGTAAAAGTTGATCCCAACAGCTATGGATTCATTTGTCACTATGAATTTATTGAGCTTTTCAAGGAAGCTGATATGCCATTACCAGGATATAAAGGGAGAGAAACTATTAAAAAACCCATACTAGATGGTGACAGGAATAAATATGGGAAGATATGTTTTGACAAATTTATTTATATTTTCCAAGTGGTAAAAAGCAGTGATATTACCAAAACCTTCCACAAAGCAATCAACAGGAAAGGAGGCATTTGCCCTCTGGGAGGAACTTCAGAGCTCTCCAGTGAAGGGACCATTTTACTCTCTCCTCTTAAATTACTGCCCTTGACATTTTCCATATGTTATTTCTCTCTATGTATCCTTTTTCCTGTTAGAATGTCTACCTCTTGGAACTTGCTTAGATGACTGGATATGAATATTATTAAACATTAATTTTGCTATCCACCCACTGTACTAGTTCTTATTCAAGAACTATGGTCACAGGTTACGTGTATTTGAGTGTCCTTTGTTCATCTTTATAAAACTAAATATTTGCCAAAGTCACAAACTGTGTAGATCTAATAAAAGATGTTCATATCCTTTGAAATATATATATTTTAAAATCAGTATGTTTTTATAATATCTTTCTGCAAGATCTTTTTTTGTACACTTAACAACATATTGATTACATTAAATAAGACAACTGATTTTGCTACTTTTTCAAAGTATAAGTAAAAATATACAAGAAGTATGTAAAAAGTCAGATAAAAACATACATTATAGGTAAAGGAAGAGAGTATCTTAAGTTTGCATCTTCTCTCTCATGCCCAAGGTGTAAACAATTGACATATTTTGTCTTAAAATGTTTTATTTGATACATGCTTATTTGTTTTAAAACCTGTGTCATCAAACTCTCTCTTTAGATTTAAAATGATGTTGAAGATGACACTTTGAGTAGAGAGTGTGCTCAGAACTCACAGTACAGGAGGTCACATAGGCTACATGTGAATATATTTTTAAATTTTACATCTAAATCAAAGAAATGTGGTCACTAAAAAACAAAACTATATGTGTAGGACTTAATGTACTCTTGATTTTTCAAGCTGTTTGCTCTGGTTTTCAGGAGAATTACGTTACTCTAACTGAAAAGTGAGGTAAACTGGTAGCAATGTATTAGTTCAAATGAAAGCTTTATATAATGAAGAAGAGAAAATCAAGCAAACTGAAGAGAAGTACTCATTAGAGTTATAAATTAAAGAGCACTTATTCTATACAAAAGTACAGTCTTGAGTCTGGAAATCAACAGTTTCTTCTGGGTGTAAGAAGCATAATCTCCCTTAAACCAACATCAGCCAAAAGTACGTAATTTATTTATTTATTTATTTATTTATTTATTTATTTATTTATTTATTTATTTATTTTTGAGGAAGATTGACCCTGAGCTAACATCTGTTGCCAATCTTCCTCCTTTGTTTTTCCCTTTTTTCCTCCCCAAAGCCCCAGTAGATATTTGTATGTCATAGTTGTACATCCTTCTAGTTGCTCTATGTGGGACGCCACCTCAGCATGGCTTGATGAGTGGTGCGTAGGTCCATGCCCAGGATCTGAACCGGCAAACCCCGGGCCACCAAAACTGAGTGCACGAACTTAACCGCTACACCACAGGGCCGGTCCCAAAAGTGTGTAATTTAGTACAAAGACATAGAGGCTTCTCATATAAGCCAGAAATATAGTGAAACTGGACTTTCTAATTCAGAAATTTGGATTCCATAAGAAACTAAGTATTTCCTGTTCCTTTGAGCTACATGGTCTCTTATCATCTTTTGTATGTGTGTGTGTATGAAAGACAGAGAGACAGAGAAAATGGGAGTAATTTTTCTTCTCAGGTAGATCAGTTTTCCCTGCTTCTCTATATCTGCGGCCAGGTGTACATTCAGGTTTTCTAGAGTCTAAAGCACATGCAAATTTAAGGGTCCACTAAAATATATTAACTACAAAATAAATATTTACTTAGAATAAAAAAGAATTTATAACACCATTTTGAAGGCTGACAATTTCCATACATATCATAGAATTCTCTCCTCCCCACAAAAAACTCATATTTAAATTAAATTATTCCCTGGTAAATATCTATAGCAAAATTAAAGAAATTTTTATTCTGATAAAATTTCAGCTTATAGAATAGTTGTAAAACTAGAAAAAGAAATGCTATATGCTCTTTACACAGATTCTCCAATAGTTCACATTTTGCCTCATCTACTTTACCATTTTTCTTTCTTTCCATTTGTGTGTATATGTATTTGTATACTAGTTTTTTCTAAGCAATATGAAAATAGGTTGACTGATACTCAAATATTTCTGTGTGTATTTTCTAATAATAAAGACATTGATTTGTATAACCATAAGAAAGAAAACAAAATCAGGGAAATTACATTGATAGTTTACTATAATCTAATCCACAGTCCATATCCAGATTTTGTCAGAGGTCTTTACAATGTCCATTACAGCAATTCTTTCCAGGTTTGGGATCTAATCCAAGATCAAATATTTCATTTGATTGTCATATGTTTTCATTTTAATATGAGACATTTCCTCATAGTTCTTTGATCTTTGTATTTTTTAAGAGTTCATGACAGGTACTTTGCAAAATATCCCTCAATTTGGGATTATCTGGAGTTTCCTCATAATTAGTGTGGTGGCCATTGACATACACCTCTCAAACATCCCTTCAAGTGAGACTGATATGGGCAGCCCTTTTGATTGACAGCCAGCTGCTGCATCT